TGCTTCACCAATAAATACCATTCGAATTTTTTTATGTACGGTAAGTGAAAAGCTTACAATTAAATTACACCAACCAATTATAAGAAATTAATTGGGTTTATTTATTTGATTGCAGGTAAATGTATTCCAGTTATACGTGGCTCCGGTGTGTATCAGGATGCAGTTGATTTGTGTATACAAAAGTGCGCGCTCGGGCATTGGGTGCATGTCTTTCCGGAAGGCAAAGTTAACATGACCAAAGAGGAAATGCGTCTGAAGTGGGGTGTGGGTCGTATAATATACGAATCGCCACAAATTCCAATTATTATACCTATGTGGCATGAAGGCATGGATGAGGTGTTGCCCAACACTGAGCCTTACATGTTGAAATGGGGCAAAAAGGTCACACTGAATATTGGCCAACCCATAGACTTGCATGATTTTATACAGGATCTCAAAGATCGCAAAGTGCCTGAGTCGGAGGCAAGGAAATTGATAACCGACAAAATACAAGATGTGTTTCGTGTGAGTTTTGGAAGCCGGGATTAAATTTTTTTCTCAATATTAATTGTTATTTTCTCTCTTTGCAGCATTTACGTAAAGAAACTGTAGAACTGCATAAAAAACGGCAATAGTAATTAAGTAAATTTGTTTTAAATTATTTTATTAACGTTCTACTCATAGACTCATGGACGAAGAGGCATACACTTTTTAGCTATTATATATTTAGTTAGATATAAATGAAAAACACAGAAAAGTAGAAAATATTATGGTTAAAACCCACAAAAAGTGTGAAATTATCATTTTTACAGATATCGCTCGAAAATGTTAAGCTATGTAACTCTTTAGAAAAAATACATTATTTTTTCCCTTTATTTTCCTTGCAAATACCATTGCTGTAGAAATAAAGACGCTAACTTTTTCTTAGTGAAAACAACGACGTATTCCGTAAAACAAATTATGTTAAAAATGCAATGTGCAATTTATTGAATATTTATGTAGTACATATATTTTTGACTGTAAAATAATTATTGTAATTTGCTTAGTTTTATGTGAATATTCAACGATAATATGATACGCTTAAAAACTAAACAAAAAATTTAATATACTACTAGAAACCGAGTATTCGTACAGATATATTGTAAAAAGTATTGTAGTAAATGATGTAAATACGATTTTAGATATGCATAAATACCGACGCCCTAAATTTATGAACATAATGAATTAGATATATTGATGAATGCATGTATTTATATGTACGTTTAAAAATAAAATATATTTATATATTTCAACTGTAAGAGGAATGTTTGCGTTTGAGTGTTGCGCAAATCGTATGTAAGTGAACCAAAAAGTACGATCTTGTAAATGAATATGTGTAAAATATTGTTTTAAAACATATGTAAAAAAATAAAAATTAACTAGAAAAGAGAGCCGAAGGTCATATTAGTGCTCCTTTTTTCGGAAAAGGAGTGATCTTTCTCTCCTTTTCCTTTATTAATAATAATAATGATTATAATTAGAAAAGAGCATCACTGTCAAATTTTTAAATATTATACATAAATATACGAGTACGAAAACGAAAACGCACTAAAACTTTTTTGCAAACAACGTAAAATTGGTGGGTCTATAACGAATGGTACTTCAGTTGCGCTGCCAGTGGCGGAAATGGTATTACAGATGGAAACTGGAAACTGAAAGCTGGCAACTGGTATTTCAAAATTCTATTATGTTCCTCTTTATAACACTTAACTATAGTTGCTATTCATAATATCCACTTGTATTTCAGTGGTGCTGCTTGTGGTTTTTTTCTGAAAAGTACACCGCTGTGAAGGACTGCGAAAAAACATAATTTTGCTCTCGCGCAAAGTTAAAATTTCGTATAGAATTTAAACATACATACAGAGACGTAGTGTCGTTTCTATATACATCAGTTGCGTTGTTTTTTAAATACTAGCCAGTGAAAACTACTAGCAATTGTTACGAGTTTTCATGTAGTGGCGTTTTCGTATTTGAAAGGAAGATGTAAGTTTTTTTGTGTTCAGAAATGCATCAAGCCAAAGCATCAGACGCATTTATTTCTAAACTATAATTGATAGAAATGTCCAATATGCGCACCCACGGTTAAATGCCTAATTGGAACATAGCTGCTCAAATGAGGCATTTCAATCAGTTATAGTTTAGAAGTAAAAAAGACTGATGCTTTGGCTTGATGCATTTCTGAACGTATCCTTTTTACTGGATACATTTTTACTTGTAGCAATTTGCCAGTAAAAGAAACAGCTTTTTAAATCCTGCTTCTTGTATTTGCACAGCCAAAGGAATAAATTTTTTATTATCGCAAAGGTAAAACGGTCAAAATAAAAATATTTAATTAAAACTTCACATTTTTTCTCCGTAGTTAATCAAAATATGAAATATACAAGTAATTTTTAGGCAAGAAATCACAACCGACTTCAATTCTCATATACAAATTAGGAGTACCGTTAATTTCTTCTTGATCCAACAATCGGATCTAAACCAATTTATTATGGGACCACCAAAGAAGATTTAATTTGACTTGTATCGCCTAGTTGTCGAAATTCGATGTTGTTTTCATACACCCTTGAATTTTGTTTGTCACCAATATTGACTCCTTTATGCGAATGACGATTTTGAAATCCGCCACCATAAGTTATAGCGAATTTACTGGAAAATTGAAAACCGAATTTCTTCAGTAGCTTTCGAAATCAGACCGAGAAAGGAACCTGGATTTTTATTTATAAAAAATATGCGTATATGTTTGTATGTATAGATGAGATGCCTTCCGGTTCCTCTCTTACTGATATGTTAAACATATACAATTCAGACTGTAAATACGCTTTTCGTTTATATTGGTCTGAAAGCCTCTTGGAAGGTTAAAAACTAAATTGCAAACATCTACATAAACTTAGCTTTCTTTTCATCAGAATCGGTAAAGGTTAAGAAAGTATCTCGAAGGTGTCCAAAATATATAATATTTCCTTCCCTAATGGCGGTTTCCACACGGGGTTTTGTCAAGAGTGGGCCAATGCCCAATATATTTGCATCACACGATTGGGTCAGCAAGTTACACCAAATTTATTATTACGCAATTTTTTGTTGCAGGTTTTAATATAGTTATAATAAATTTTATAATTCAAGTGGAAAAACAGTACCGATTTTTTTTTGTAAATATGTGATGCAGTCGAATTTACATATGTAAACAAATACTAGCGGACTTCGTCCCGCCCAAAATTAATTTTTTATTTAAAGATTTGGTCCAACGTTTTCACCAACAATTCACATTCATTATTGGTTCTGTGGTCGTCAGAAGGGATATCCTCCAATATACATAGATTTATTTCAGACGAAATACCTTAGATATCTTACAATTGTATTTGTAGGTGTTTATCAAGGATTTTCTTTATTCTGTTTAGTCGCCGTAAAGCAAGGACCGCAATGGCAATGGTTCTGGTGGTTGATTTAACGTTGGTAATTTAACTTTGATCCTTGGTGTTTTTGAGTGACTCCACTTGACGATTTTTACCATAACTCAACTCCAGCGCCACCTTGCAGCTCTTTTTGTGCAGCAGTACATATTGCTCATACCGTTATCAGTATATTTATATCTCGAATATGAGTCAAATCGGACAATAAATACGATTATTAGTAATAACTCGACTCCAGCGCCACTTGGCGTTTCAAGTTGTGAGCTTAAATTATACAGGGACCCACTCAAACACATACAAAAATCATTAAAATCGTTTCGGCATTTAGGAGGGGTTCACCCACAAACACACGTACCGAATAAGTTATTTTACAGGAGAAGCAAAAAACATAAAATGAGTATGAAAAACAGGTTGCATGTGGTTATTTTTGGTACTAACACTTTACCTACCAAAATCAGTGGAAAACGCAGTTTCGAAAAAAGTGTTGGTTACAAGAATTGTGATGGAAACTAACCCATTCTCATTTATCTTACTAACACATTTGCAAATTTTGCGTTGGTTAAAAAGAGACCAAGAGAAGATCACATGTATACAAATGTTTACATCAGATTTTTCACACTGCCCTTTAGAATTTGATAGAAACTTGTAGGTAGCCAGTGACAGAAATCTCTATCAGTCTTGCCACTCAAATGATTTGTCAAATGATAGTCACTGTTCTTGCAGGGTAGTATGACATGGTGTTTGCTAAAAGCTATTTACATACAAAATTTCATAAAAATCGGACCAGCCGTTCGCGAGATTATCTGTTACAAAGAAAAATACTTCTCTTTACATAATTAGTATAGATACTTACATACATATACTTACAGTTTCTCCAAAACCTATGAAATTGAGGAAA